GGGGGAGGGCGGCGGGGACAGTGAGGGTGTTGTGGGCAATTAACATATTAATATCTTCTTTTTACAAAAAAAATGTACAATTTTTTGACCTCCAAATTGTAATCTCTTCCGAAAACATCTACTTAGTAATGAACATCCACTTATTGCGATGTGAAGAAGTGTTCGGAGTCTATAAAACAATTCCATGAAATGTCCCAGTATCTATTACTGTATGACGATGAGAAAGCTCACTTCACAGGATGAGAAGACCAGAATACGGCGTAGGGATGTCTATGTGCTAACCTCACGTACCACTCTACCCATTGCCGCAAGGCCGGATTACCGCTGATAGCCCTTGGCTCCATACGGAGGTGTTGTATCAAAGTACATACACTCTATAAAGCAATTGAGTTAAAGTCTCAGAAAAATAAGTTCTTTACAAGAAAATACCTACTCAAAGGAAACGCTTCCTCCTGACAAGGAAGCAGTCAACTGCACGTAAATAACAGGCAATAATTAATGTATTGGGAGTTTCTTTTTCTTTGCACAGCTGTGTTCAAATCTTGTACACATCAGGAAAGAGAGTACCGAATAGTGGGAAAAAAACAGTAAGATAACTCATGCAAATGCGTCAATCCAACGAGTGATAGAAAGAGGGTATTCGGGGAGCATGTAACGATAAGAAACATCAGAAAGAGCAGCAATGGCCCAGTACCTAATGTGATCGCCTAGAATCATGAGCCCCCCTCCCTCAGAAGCCAATAATAGATATTCAAATATGTACCTTTTACTTATTTTCACGAATATTATTCAATATATCAATTGTTAACGTTATTAATATTAAGTGTAGGTCAACAAATAAAAAGATATTTTATATTTAGCTTCAAGTTATATTCATATTCAAGTTAATAATTCGTAATAAGAAAACATCAATGCGGCTGAACACTATAACTGCACTCCCCCCCCCCTCGTTCGAGAAATTCCTGGGTGTGCTTCTGATGATGAGACATGAATAAGGGTTCAGATGGCCAAACATGCGACAACCCAACCCACGCGACAACTGCGGTGTTCCACGTAAGAGTCCGATACGACGTTGCGTGAGTCACTTGTCACTAATTTGAGGCCTTCGAACGAGGATCTATAGTGAGTACGAAGGCGGTAAGTTGATTCGACGAATAAACTCCTTTGTAAACCGTCGAGTTAATATTCGATTGATTGATTGATTGTTTAGTGATTCCGGGCACATGAACTACAAGGGTCATTAGTCCTGTAAGTGTAACGCATGTTTTTTGCTCGGGACGTGGTGGTGATCTTTCTCCGGCTGAAAGGCGAGATCCAGTGCTGACCTACCGTTGGCCAGTGGGTTTTCCTCAAACAGGTATCCCCACTAGCGGGGCGCCGCCCTAGTCGGGACAAGCTCTAAGCTCCCGACCAGTCTCCCGGCATGTGTGCTAGTTAGTGTAAGTGCGTGTGTAAGGGGAAACGATAGGGGAAAGGAGAGGTAGGAATAATCGCGCGCGGTCCGTGCCACGTTTGCTAGGACACTGCTTCGGCATTCGCCTGGTGTTGATCGGAAAAATCACGTAAAACTACCGATCAGAGACAGCCGGTCGCAAGAATTCTCCTGCAGACAGCAACCTGAATTCTACCTAGCTAATAAGCTAGTTTCGAAAACTCTACCACCATCGGGACTCGAACCTAGGACCTCCCGGTCAGAGGGACTGCAGTGACATCAGTTGATGCCCCGAACCAACTCTTCTAGTGAGTTAATACTCAAAGGGGAGGGGGCTGCTAGTGCATTCGGCTCTGTCTGCTGGGACCCAGAGTTTATCCCCGGCCAATCCTCCTGGAATTTGTGTTGGACAAACGAGGTCTCGGAAATTCCCTTGCTGTTTCCTCTGCGTCTCATTCCATTTCTCCATCAGCTCATCATTATTATCCCTAAGATCTACTGATTAGATTCTCACTCAGGAGTCTGAATGGCGACTGCAGTAGAATGGCCTCTGTACTCCAGTAAATAAATAAATAAGTTAATATATAAAGTAAGTAATTAAGTAAATAAATAAAGAAATGAAGAAAATAATCACTGTATAATCCTGCAAGAATTACCACAAGCAGAGGCTTGACAGCGCGTGAGTAAGGTTCTAGCACATAACGTGATTCCACTGTACGTCAGGACATATCCGGGAAAAGGTGCCGTACTTAACGCAACATCCTTCCATTTTAGCAGCGCTCCACATTACATTTTGTATTTTCCACTGGGACCACCCGCTGTCACCATATCGAAGGTGCCCTCTGCGCCGGTTGCTCGCGACTTCAAGTCGTAATGAAGTGTTAGGCTTCCGCGGCCAGAGTCATGTGCGTGATCTGGCTGTCCGGGTGACGCCGCGGACGCCTGGTATGCCAGCTCTGAGGAAGACCACGACAAGATGGTCGAAACGTCGGCAACACAGCCTTCGACGCGGCGTCACCCGGACAGCCCAGATCACTTCAGGTCATAATGACACGTTGGCAGTTGTGGTCCCAGCGTCCATCTGTGGTAGCTTCTTCTGACGTTTTCTCCGACGTTTCACAGTGGGTTGGAACGGGCGCATTCGCGTCTGACAACGCACTGGTGAGCGTGAGTATGTGGTCTATGAGGCTGGTTCACTGAGGAGTGATCGTGTTGGCTTGATGTGGTTACGAATGACTCACTGATGTGGTTATCAATGAACACCTTTCGTATTCCGGAAGGGCTCATTGAACGCAATGTCGATAACGGTTGAGTTGGCTCGCGCCAAACCTTGCCACTGCAGCGACTCTGAACTGGAGGTTCTGCCAATACTTTAAAATATAAATTTTATTCTGAAAGAGGAATTTCAGACTGCAGTGCTAAAATGTTAAATTTTAGATGTTTGTCATACGCGTATTCTAATATAATAATGGGTCATTCCATCCAAAATTTTAAGATTTGGAGTGGTATTTCTTCAATGTTTTTCATATTTCAGTATTTGATTAACCTACGAATAGGTAGTTTCATGGCAAATTTTATAACTCCTAGCTTGAAAGAATTGCGCACAACAATGAGATAAATATTCAAATATTGTACTTGCAAGACTTAAAAATTTTTCATAATACACTGATATTCGTAAGAGAACAAACGAAGTACCAATACAAAGTTGGCACATAATGTTGAAATGGCGGTACATGAATGGAACTTATTGCTAATAATATTTGCAAAATTGGATGTAATTTTACAACAAATATTTATAATTAAAAATGTAAAGTTTTGAATAAAATTAATTTTTCATCGTAAATATCATCAAATGATTTACTCATGGTTCAAATTTCATCACGGGACTACTTCAAGTTTTTATGTTTTAAAATAATTAATGCCGGCGTTGTTTGTCTTTAAAGGACATAAACACTTGCATTTGAACTGCTGTGTCCAACACCAAGTCTGTGAGAGTGACGGGTGTTTTGGAATAACTGAAGGTCGGGTACAAGGGAGAATTCAAGAAGGGCTGAAGAGGGGTATAGCAATTTGTCTTTGTTCATGACACTTTCTTCACTGTCTGAATGTTATGTGAATTTCGTTGCGTCAGGGAGCTTGCTAGCCATTGGATGAGTTAGTTGTATTCATTGCGATCCAACTATGCATTAAATAGCATAAAAATACATGTTAAAAACTTTATATAAAATGCGAAATAATGGGGGAATACTTTGTGGTGCTGCAACCCTTTTGAACTCCCATCAAATCGGAAAAATTAAGTTGACCGAGAAAATGCGGCTGTCATTACGGCTGTCATTACGGCATACGGCTGTCATTATAAAATATTGAAAATGACTGTAAACATTCCTGTACTTGAAAATGAACGAGAAACTGAGGTGAGCAAAATTTACAAGTGAAGACGAATATTTGTACGGAAATCAGCGACATGTGAGTGTCAGTACTTAATAAGTGAATGTCGCGAAAATGTAGTTTCGAATTTTTGCCAGATCAATATGACTCGTTCGAGACACCACAATTTATCTACTTTTCAATATTATGCATAATATAGAAGCTCAATAAAATGACGTATTGTGATTTTTGTTCTCTAAAATACCTCATATTGCTGCAGAAAAAGCAGTGTTACTTCAACTTACTCTAATGGAATAAATTGTTTTTTCACATTTTCACACTTCAAGTCTCTATTCTTGCTTACACAACGCTCCAACGAAGAATCATATACTTCGAATTTTCCTTTTGCCAGCTCTTCTTACAAGCAGGAAGACTGTTCTTCAAACGTCTCATCTTTCGGCCGTCACGTGATCACAGCTTTAGACTATATAAAAGACCGCTGATGATTTCACGTTTTGTGTGGAGTAGGCGAGTCACTCGGAGTGAAGGTATGAAGAGCAGTTTGTCTCTGGAATAAAATCAACTTAATTCCTCACGGGTAAGAACTATTATCGTTAGCGTGCGATGGCAATTATTCTTGTAAGAATTGAACTCAATAATGTGTTATTTTCGCAGAATGTCAAAATATTGTGAGGAAGATAAGAAGATTTTGGCTGATCTCTGCGCAAAATATCCAATCTTGAAGATCAAAGGAAGTTCCTACAATCTGTCAAGTAACAAGAAACGAGCCTGGGGAGAAATAACGGCTGATTACAATTCTTTACGGCCAAAGGAAAAATATCGATCAGAAGCCCAGTTGAAAGGTATTTGTGAGCGAATAATATCTACTCATTTCGAGTCTTTGTTTTTGTTTTCCTGTTAGATTACCAAGATTACATCCTCATTTCTGTTGTAGCTTTTGAAAGTATGGTTTTGATAAATAGTATTTTGCGTATGTATTAGCAATAGGATAAATATACTTCCAAGCAAGCAATGAATCTATGACGGGGATCAGGGGCGTACTGTTGTTTACTTGTTGATATAAGAGCCTTAGTAGTATTGTATTATTAGTCAAACATTGGTGAAATGTTATTTTTGCCTTTAAAGGAAGTGGCGCGACGTCGAAAAGATCATGAAATATTCACTGTTATGCCTTTAGAAATTAAGTAACAAAAAGTAGTGATTAATAATCAACTTTTTCTGTATCTGACACGTTACTGGTCTCTAAATTCGCTTTTACAAGAAGACCGCTCTAAACTTCAATATTAATTTATTTCGTAATTACGCAGTATAGGGAAAGAATAGAATGTTATAGCGGAAAGTTGCGATTATTCGTCTGAAGGAGGTCACTTTGAGGGGCCTGATATCACAGCCTAAACGATACAAAAACTTGTGGTACTACAACAACACATATATTCTCACAATATTTGTACTTTTGAACATTTCTAAAATTTATAGACTTTAACGGAAATAAGTCTTGCGACATGTTTAAGGATAATTTGATCTATCTGAGGAAAAAAATAAAGGAAAAATACTAACTTATACTTCATTTAAAGCAAAACAACATACTTGAATAATTGACTAGAATAATACAATTAACGTTTATCAGCTCAGTACATCATTGTATAAAGTGTAAAATAGGGATGGAAACTTCGAAATGCTCTGTGTTTAGAGAGTGTGGAAACTATGGCATTGGAGTTAACAGCAATAAGATAGAAAAATATTGACAACAAAAAGTACTTCTTTTACTTCTACTTGTGGCTTGCGATATATTTCAATATTCCTCCTTCAACCGCGCTCCTTCGCTGTCTGTCAGTTATCTGAATTCCACAGAGTTTAGTTTCACTGAGCTGAAATGGATCTTAGGAGAAAATTAACTGTTGAAGAATACGATTACGCAAAGAGAGCACATTCAGGCGGGAGATACAACTCGACTTGGTGGAATCTCGAATTCAGCAGCGTATCTTTTGATTTGTCGTTTTGGTGACAGGGAATCATCAGACAACAAACCTCGCAGCGGTACACGGTGAGTGGATAATGGCTTGCGCAGTGAAGATAATGCGGGAACAAGTGCACCGAACTTGGCAGCAAATCTGAATAGCGAAAAAAAAAAAAAAAAAGCGGTCAAGTATGTACATTTCAGTTATGACTTTGGAGGATGGTCGTATTTTCAGACGAGTGCAGTTTCTCCATTTTGGGGTCAGAAGATCAACTTATGTTTTGGAGAAAGAAACATACAAAACCGTAGCCATGAAATGTATTCCTGTAAGGCAACACAACTGTGGTTTAGTGATCGTGTGGAAATTAAGAATGTTAGAAGTATGGTGCAAATACTGTTTATAGATGGAGTAATAAATAAACTCATGTACATTAGCACACTAAAGTCAAATTTGTGAGCTGATCCTGTTAAAATCAATTTGGAAAGCGACAACATCTATTCAGCCCAATAAAGACCCTAAATATATCGCTCTTAACTCTCTAATGGCAAGGTGCGGGTTGAATGCGACCCGTGGGAAAGTTGCGCGAGCGTTTCTTCCGCATATTTCTTCTCAAGGTCACGTGGGCTGAGTCCTCTAGTTCAGTCTTTTGCCGGACACCGTTGCAACTACATCGCGCGCGTATGTATTATTTACTTATGGTACTTTTTTGAAGTGCGGCCTGCTCCTGGCAGGGTCGGATACGACACACCTTACTGTTTACGTTTTATATTTTCAACTAAAGTAAACTTTTCTTTTTCATTCTTCTAGCTATGCTGTGATTGATTTCAATAGAAATTTGTCGACATCAGAAAGTGTGGCTGAGTGAATGCGTGAAAAGTCTGATCATTCGTGCACAATAATGAAAGACGCACATTTCATACGTTACAACAATATGCAAGTTTAATTTTCACATTAAAAATTATTAAATTGCAACAAACTTGAAGAAAACGTAATATTGCGGAACGTCAAAAATATTCGGACACATAATATAAACTAATTAATAAAACTAAATAAAACAAAAAATAAGTATATCAATAACTTGTAGGGAGTCCTTTCATTTTCAAAACTTCATTCAACCTCTTTGGCATGTTGTCAATAAAATTTGTAGAATATTCTAGAAAGCTCACCCACACCACTCGCCGTCATACAGCCCCACACCATTACGTTCCCACTTCCGTGTTTCGCTGTTGACTGCAGATTCTTCTCTTGCTACTGTATGTTTGCCTTTCTCCACGCCACTGTTTTTCCGTCAGGTCCGAACACTCAGGAATTACTCTCGTCCGAAAATATTACGCGATTCCACCATTCAATATCCTCGTTCATATGTTCCTCAGCAAACTGTCGCCTTCTCGTCTTGTTTATCTTATTTATGAAAGGCTATTTGCTAGCCACGCGGTCATGAAATTCTGCTTTTTGTATATTCACTCGTATTGTTTCTGGATGTACTTTCTTTCCCAGTTTTCTCACCCTTGCAGCAATTTTTGGTGCACTTAATTTGAGATTATTTTTAATCTTTCTAATGACGAGGATCGCTTCTCGACGGGAAAGTTTATGGGGACATCCACTTAGGCGGTGAGACGCAATCCTAACTTCTTTTTTAAATCTCCTGGTTATATCACATACCGTGCTTTTCTCAATATTCTGATTTTTTTCAATTTCAGGGCAGTTCTTGCCTTTTGTATTCTGAAAATTAGTTAATTTCGGACGGAGTTCGAACGGACTTCTAAAGAGCTGTTCTTGCCTTTTCCAGCAATTCTCTCAAGAAGAGACGCTAATAGACTGATTTTTGACAGCTCTTCGATTGACCGCTGCAACAGTCTATGAGTCAACCCTGGGAAAAGTTACTACATCAGTTTATGCCCAACTGTTTGATGACAACAATTATTAATATATGTCTTTCCGAATATTTATTTGATGTGGAATTTCCGTTATTGAAAGTTCTAATACAAATTTATCACTGATGTAAAAGCAGAAAAAACGCATTTTGCAGTGTACGAGTATTTAAAGCTGAAATAATATCAAAATTATTACTGGTATAATATTTTGTTGTAATAGGCTCATAGCGTATTCAAAGTGAGTAAGCTGAGTACTGTTTGAATACTTTTTTGAGTGAGAGTATCTACTTGAATCAACTTCTTCTGAATCACGTGATGAAATTTTACCTGATGACGTCGATAACGTTTTCGATTGAGGAAAGGTGAGTACAGAATCGAGGAACATCCTGGTGACGACGGGGCTTTTGATTTGGGCACGAATAATGAAACTATCTGGACAAACACATCTTTGATAAGTAAATGTTCGAAGACGAGCGCAGCAAACATTGTCAATAATTTGCCTGCGTCTGAAAGTTAAGCTCGGGGAATTGTATGTGTGTCGCAGTTATTTTCATTGTTTTTTACATCAGAAATGATACATACAATTGTGAATCATACCAACAAACAAATTGAAAAATCGAAACAATATGCAGCTGTTCGGAGTACTTTTATCCTACTGGTACCTTGGAGATAAAAGTCTTACCGGGATTGTTGTTCATGAGTGGCATTTTGAAAATATCAATGACATGTTTTCTTCTAAATATGGGCTATCTGTTTTCCGAAGAGCCGTGTCCAGAAAAATATTCGTTTTTCGTTTCATGAACCTAAGATATGACGATAGAGAAACGATAGAAGTTCGAAGATCAGTTGACAAATATGCTGCATTTCGGGACATGTGGAATACTTTTGTAAAAATCTGTGCAAAATATTACACCACAACTGAATATGTCACAGTTGATGCAACATTTCATAGTTTCCGTCAAAGATGCCTATTCAAAATTTACATTCCCACAAAATCTATCAAATTCTGTCAGCCTTCATGCAGCTCGTTGCGTGTATTTTGCAAATGTACATCCCGCCTGAGATATGGTATAAAATTCTGGAGAAACTCATCCTGTAGTACTCAGACCTCTGGATTGCAAAATAAAATTATTCGAAAAATGAAAAAATGCCATCCGCGTTACTCTTACAAGCCTCTCATTGAGCTCATTGATTCATTGAGTCAATGTGACTGTAATATTGGTCAAAAGTGACTTACTTAACGGTGGGAACATATTTTCATGCAATACTGATATTTATAATTACAACACACGTCGTAAAAATCACGTTCATCAAGTGCCAATATCAACAGCTCAGAAATCCCTATACAATACATGTACGTTACTTTACAATGCACTGCCAGATGACATTAAACAATTGAAGGCGGTTCACAAATTTGAGTTAAAAGTAAAATATTTTCTGCTGCATAACTGTTTCTATACAATTAGAGACTATACTGATTATCAAAAAGAAAAATAATGTTTATTTTAACCAAACAGTGATATATAATGAATTAGTTTACATTTGAATTGTATATATTTTTAAGACTTAATATGTTTGTAGCAAATAATGTACTTGTACTTCCGGGTCAATGGTGCCCATCTCGATCACGTTTTTGTCCAGTTTCCCTGATACATGAAGCTCTCTCTCTCGCTCTCTCTCTCTCTCTTTCTCTCGCTCGCTCGCTCGCTCGCTCGCTCGCTCGCTCTCTCTGTCTCTCTCTGTCTCTCTCTGTCTCTCTCTGACTCTCTCTGGCTCTCTCTCTCTGACTCTCTCTCTCTCTCTGACTCTCTCTCTCTCTCTGACTCTCTCTCTCTCTGGACTCTCTCTCTCTCTCTGTCTCTCTCTGACTCTTCGTCTCTCTCTGCTCTCTCTGTCTCCTCTGTCTCTGTCTCTCTCTGTCTCTGTCTCTCCTGTCTCTGTCTCTCTCTGTCTCTGTCCTCTCGTCCTCTCTCTGTCTCCTCTGTCTCTATCTCTCTCTGTCTCTATCTCTCTGTCTGTGTCTGTCTCTGCCTGTCTCGTCTCTGCCTCTCTCTGTTCTCTCTGTCTCTCTCGCCTCTCCTGCCTCTCTCTGTCTCTCTCTGTCTCTCTCTCTGTCTCTCTCTCTCTGTCTCTCTCTCTCTGGCTCTCTCTCTGTCTCTCTCTCTCATTAGCATCAAGCAGTTGGTTTAATTTACTGAAGTTACCAGTCACGTTTTACATTAACTCTATTGGAAAATTGTTTTCTTTGTATTGCCAGGTCTCTGGAAACGGATGACTTCACCAAAGGCCAAAGCCACCGCTTCTATTGCAGTTGCTACATCTGATACAGAGAATATGGAACCGGAAATTGATGAAGACATTGCTGGTTCGCAAGATTTTGCAGTTCCTGTAATAAATATTGATGACATTATAGAGGTATACTGTTATTACTATTATTTCTACTATTATCCCGTGGCTTAGTTTGGTAGCTTTTTGTGAGGCAACCCTGGGTTCGAGTCCCAGATAGGGCAAAAATAAAACTGTAGTATTGAAATACAAATCGTCGCTGTTTCTATAGCTGTGTGACGAAAGAACGTGGGGGCTGGCCAAGAAAGCTATTATGCTTGCCACGCTGCTTGCCACGCTGCTTGCCACGCTGCTTGCCACGCTGCTTGCCACGCTGCTTGCCAGCGCTAGTTAGGCTATAGTCATATTAATCGGCCCCTAAAAATGCTAAATGCGTACATAATTGCTAGGAATTCTCTAGAATCGCGGCGAATCTTCTATATCTAGAATAGCGGCAAGAGGTCATTTTAACACAAACAATAGGATGTATTGAAATTCAAAAATGCATTTTAAGCAACTATTTTCTTTTTTTGGCAAATTTTCCACAGGGGGTACTTCTCGCAGAAATCGCTGTCTTTGTTGCCTTTGCACATGCTGAACTGGCCCTTCCTTGCCTTTTTGGAAGACCCAGCCACTACAGTCGTTTCTGCTTTGTGTTCCTCTTCTGACAAATTCCCTCCCTTCAGTTCATTAGATAGTTGAAGAATTAAGTTTTTCCTTTTCAATAGCTACATGACTGTAGATGAAACAAGCATGAATTGCCGGCATGTCCAATGTATTATAAAAAAAACAGCATTGGCCATCTCCTGCATGCTGAGTCGGTACTATATTTTTGTCATTCAGTCTTACACGTCTAAACTAATTTTTTATATTTTTTATTTTACAGTACCTTCGCTGTTTTAGGCCTCTTTTTTCCATCATCACTGACAGGTACTTCGCGATGACCTGAGCTCAGAAGCATGTCATTCTTTTTCTTCCTTGAATGATATTTTGTCAAAGTGCTATTTCTTTTTCTTTGGAGTGTGTCGTGATGTAACAGATGAATGAATTTCAGCATTTCGTTTCAACCCATCAGTGATTTCATGACGAATCGCAAACAACATTCCACAATCACGGCAGGTCCAGTCGTGATGGTGGGGAGAATGTTTGCGAGCTGTGAGATCTCGTCATCAAGGCACAAGGCACAATGGATCAACAGATGTATCCTTGGGGGCCATATCCACCCCTATATGCAGATCGTTCTTCCTCGGCAAGGTGGCATCTACCAGCAGGACAATTCAACGTGTCATACAGCTCGCGGCGTAGGTGCGGGGTTCGAAGAGCACCAGGATGAGTTTGTAGTACTTCCGTGTCCGCCATCTCCCCCGATTTAAACCAATCGAGAATCTGTGGGACCATTTTTATAGGGCTGTTCGCGCCATGGATCCGCAACTGAGAAAGCTAGCGCAGCTGAGCGGTCCTGGAGTCAGGAGCCCACCTCCTTCTCGGTGCCATTCAGAATCTACTTCTTGCACGTCTCGCAGCGGTCAGCGCTGCAAATTGGGCTTATTAAGGTTTTTGCCAGATACCCACATTCATTCACATATACTTCATTCATTGTTATGATCAGCGATTTTAGGGTCATACAGGAAGATAATAATTATGTCTAATTTGAATTTCTTATGAA